ACAATAATCTTTGATCACAATAATCTTCGATCACTACAATAATCTTCGATCACTACAATAATCTTCGATCACTACAATAATCTTCGATCACTACAATAATCTTCGATCACTACAATAATCTTTGATCACAATAATCTTTGATCACTACAATAATCTTTGATCACTACAATAATCTTGGATCACTGCAATAACCTTTGATCACTGCAATAACCTTCGATCACTGCAATAATCTTCGATCACTTCAATAATCTTTTGTTTCACAATGAAGGGAAGTGGTTTTGTCTCGGTGATGGTGACTGTGGTTCCACAGCTGCTTCACGTTCAACAGAATCTAAATGAAGCATTGAACCATCATCAAGTAGATGTTGAGACCAGATTATAAAAATCGTGATCCATCAAGGTTCAGGTCATTTAAAGATTCAGACTCTTAGTTTATACTTTTTAGAACATTTTGTTTGACAGTATGTTTTGACAACAGTTGCAGTCTTTCCTGAACTCTCAGTTCCAGTTTCTGAGGAGGAGAAGCAGCATGAAGAACCTTCTCAGACCCGTGACGTCTTTTAATCTTCTGAAAAGATAATCCCTCGATTAGCCTGAAACTCCAGGAATCCTATAGCTTTGAGCTGGAGCCGAGGTTTCACATCTCTGGACTCTGGAGCATCTGGACCTGCTCACAGATCTCACTTTGAATAAGAGAAGTTCTACGAAGCGCCCCCCAGGAGATCTGCTAGATGTTTGTTTTGACCCATTGGGCCTCAGGCCATCCTCCCTGTGAGGACTAAACTCTCAACACGTTCCTCGTGTCGGCGAAATGACATCGATGAATTCCTCCTTGAAATATGGCCCCTCTGCTGGACCACACCCTCCTGGACCTGGGTGTGTTGGACCCAAAACCACGATCCGATCAGCGTGACATCATCCGTTCAGAGAAACTCTTTCCTCTCATGTCTCTCACTCCTCTGGACCTTCTCCTCTCACGTTTTCTCCCAGAATGCACTGGGGCATGTCAGCGATGACATCATGATCGATAGCTCTCAGCTGATATCTGCTCAGCGAGCGTTCGACTGAACTTAATTTACCACAAACGTTGAAGCAGCAGCTCCTTCGTGTTTCTCCTCTGAAGACGTTTGTAAAAATCTAAATTCTGACGTTTCTAGGTTAATTAAATAAAAATGTTTTTATGTACATTTTTACACTCCAACTACCTCTGCATGCGTTGTTATATTTTAGCTGCTCATACATGAAAACGTTCGGCTCATTCAGCAGATGGGTGCTCTGACGTTTTTGTTGTAATTTTTATACTTTTTAAAAGATTTAACTTTATTCACAAATATTTTCCCAGAGAAACTCGTACCTCTTCGTTTCCATTTACTGGGAAATCTGCTTCAGCTACCTTTCGCTTTAAGCTAGCCTTGTGCTACTTTTAGCTGTTTTTAGCTACACAAGTGTTTTTATACTTTATTCTACCTTAGCTATTGGCTTTTTGTTACTTTTTGTGAACAGTATTCGTCTTCAAAACACAGTTTCTGCTTTTGGCTCGCCTTTTGCTACTTTTTGCTTTTAGCTCTATTCAGCTTTTAGCTAGTGTTTTGCTATATTTAGCTTTTATCTAAAAAGCTTTTTATAAAGCTTTTAGCTTTATAAAATTCACGAGGAGCATTCAAGAGGAGCCTTATTGTGAAGTGTTTTTTAACGAACACCTAGACCAACGTCTTGTCGTGGCGGCCATCTTTCTCTGCGGCCAGGAAACGTTCAGCTCCAGGAGGTGCAGCTTGTTGCTCTGAGTCACTTTGGTTCTGTTTCTGCCGAATAAGTAGTTTCCTTTTTCTGGTCTCAACACCCCCCGCCCCCCCCACCCCCCCCACAATCCATTCCTTTCCTCTTGCTCAACACGCCCCCCCTCCCCCCCGCCCAGCCAATGGAAAGAGCTGCTGGGAGACAATGGTCTTTCTGTTTGAGGGTGTGTGAAGCAGCGCTCTGCTCTCCAGAGGTTAATTAAGCCACTTACACTGGTTTGTATCAGAGCCTGGACCGGGTCCAGCTGTTGGACCGGCTCAGTGGGCCTCTGCAGAACTTAACCCGACGCAGAGCGGTTATCATTAATGTTGGACGATTAGTTTGGTTGAATCACACGTTTCATCTCAATAATCTGTTTCTTTCAGACGAGTTTGGAGCTGAAGGTTTCTCAGGACCGGGTCCCTCTCATGAAGGCTCCTTCAGGTCCAGTCCTCCTTCACACAACCTGAGTCCGGGCCCAGGAATCGGCTTTGCTCCAGGTCCCGGCTCGGTTCCGACGGGCCCCCCGGGCACAAACTACAACAACATCCAGATCCCTCCGGGGGCCCACGCTCCGGCCAACACCCCCGCAGAGTTGCAGCCTTCTTCAGGTACGACCCAAACTGAACCTTCGGACTCGACTACTTCTGCGGTTTGACCCGAAACACTTTCCTCTCTGTGGTTTGTTAGAAACATCTGTCCAGTCCAGGAGAAGGTTTTCATATACAACCAAGTCCTGCAGCAGGAAGAGACCTTCACAATAAAACCTCTTCCTGTTTGGAACTGTTAAATGTTCGACTTTAAATCCTAAAATCTGACGCAACACTTTTATTCTGTTTTCTTTAACTTCAAAGTCCTTATCAGAACTAAACTGTTAAATCCTACAGGATTTATAATTGAATCATTTTAAAAAGAACCTGCAGAAAACAGGTCTGCTGAGTCACTGGTTTCCATCCAAACCAGTTCAGTTTATTTATAAAGCTCCAAGTCGCAACAGAAGCGTCTCAGGGCTGAACAGGAACATTCAAATATAAAATAATAATTTAACAGAAACATTCAAATATAAAATAAT